TCTCCAAAATTTCCTCATGAAGCATCTATGAGGTATTTTAATCTAATAATATCCTTAACCTCTTTGTTTTTGCAACAAATTACGAGTACAGAACACAGGGGACAGACAGCATTTTTGTTTCCTTCTTTGTTCCCCCAAAATCAGACGGAAGCAAAGAATGACAAGAAAGCAAGTTTCCACTACACAGAAGCAGAAAACAGGCTTACAAGATTGCCAGGTTAGAGCCTAAGAAGATTAATTCCTGCACTTAAGCCATAATAGAGGACAATCTAGAGAGGACTGATGTTTAGCTGAATTGGTGCTATTTGCTCGGATGCAGAAGAAATAGGAAGCTGTTTTAACCTCCCATTCACACTGGAAAATAAAAGACAGCATGCACATAAGCAAACTCCAGCATGGAACTCTCACCAGTTTTCTTGTAACAGCAATCTCCTAGGCAACTTGTCCAATGAAATGAAAGTAAGAGTACATTTTTGACTTCTGACCTTGTGACAATGGGTAGGTAACACTGAGGAGAAAGAAAGCATGCCAAAACTCTTGTGGATCCCACAACACTGCAATGAATTTAACTGCAAACTAATTTCTTCTACAGTATAGACCAGAGATGACCTGTATTACAAACCTCACAGGAGTGCCTTAACAGTGGCACACAGGACCATATCAGTCTCCACACAAAAGTGGATGTAAAAGCAGCAACTTCTGATCCCAGCTGCCTAAACTACTTCTCATCCCTCTATAAATGGTCACAACAAGCTGGCACATCTGTGCCTGTACAGTTCAACAGGACTGAGTTAAGGTGAAGCTGCTTTAGGAACCCTCTCGCCACTCTAAGTAAAATTTAAACAAAAATAATTACCTGACTAAAGTTCCTATACTGAAGTGTCATGTTCTCTGCATGTTGGCTTAGATTTAGTTCAGCTTTAAGCACAAGGCTAAGAAGCTTCTTATCTTTGCAGTCATTTTCCTAAGTTCACTTGTCAGTTGAGAAAGGTTAATATTGTATATGCAGCTTTTAGAGAATTTAAAGTATTTTCGGCCCCCTAAAAGTTTAGGCATAGATCAACAAAGGCAATATTCAGTGCTGTGTTTTGGTGGTGGGGTAGCTATTGGCTACAGTTATATAACAAAATCACTTGTCATAGCTGAAAATACAAGCTATTCAGTAAGTTTCTCAGATAGATCCTAGGGGGCATTACTCTAATTGTATATTTTGTACAAATTACATAGATTTTCCTTCTTTATCTTTAGCATTGGTTTTGTATGTTTTTACAATATGCTAAAACGCCAGGATCAGATATCAAACAGTACAACTATAACAGGATTTATTTAGGTATCAAAGATATCTAGATTTCATTCTGGTTTATTATTATTATTATTACTACTATTATATATTAATCCTCTACTGTGTGCATTGGATAAGCACAAACATAAATAGGTTTAATATGTTTAACTATACTACATACTAGCAGTTAGAGCAATACTCTTCTGTAGGAAAAGACTAATGCATTTTAAAAAAAGCAATCTATTATTCTGAGCATTTAATATTATTTGCTGTAAGAAATCAAGTAGTTTAACTTTAGAAATTTAACACTTTAATTGAAGTGCTGGGTTTTTTTGTGGTGAGGGTTTGGTGTTTTTTTGTTGGGTTTTTTGATGTTGTTTGGGGGTTTATTGTTTTTTTGTTTAAAAAAAGAGTACAGTAGTACACTAAAAATAAAACATTAGTTATTCCTTTTCCTCTGGTTTATAATACACAGTGCACCACTAATCAACTATGTTAACTAATGAAGCTGCTTTAGGGGAATGTCATATTAGACATTAGTTCAATTCTCTGAGAGGGTGATCAGTCACTGGAACAGGCTTCCCAGGGCAGCAGTCACAGCACCAAAGCCATCAGAGTTCAAGGAGTGTCTGGACCATGCTCTTAGTCCCCTTTCAGTTTTAGGAAGTCCTGCAAGGAGAGGGACTCAATGATCCTTAAGCTCCCTTCCAATTTAGGATATTCTAATATTCTATGTATAATAAAGCAGGACATACCTGCAGTACACTAGCACAAAGGCTCTTTTTTTCTCTTACAGCTGGAGTTTCCTACCAAAAAAAAAAAAAGTCATTCAATTAATTTTACCCATTAAATAATAAGCTGTCCAGAGGTGCTGTTCACATATTTTATGTACAAAATGAGAGCATCACTTCCCAGTGTAA